AGAAATATGGCTGCCAAGAGAAAAGCTAGCTTGTCTAAAACTCAAGTCTGAAGTGGTGATTAACATTCTCAAGTAAATTAACAAGACGGTAGGTCCAGTACCTGGATTTCCTTAATTCCATTTCAGTCTATATCATTCATACTAAAGATAGGTTATGTGCCCAGTACTATTTTAAGCACTTTATGTAACTTCTATAACATTTCTCATGACCTAGAACATGTATTTTCAAGATGGTTCTCTAGGATTACGAGAACAGTCTTTGTCCATAAATTTAGTAAAACGGATACAGGCAAAAATCAGATCAAATTGACCGTATCAGCAAAAAGTTTTAACCAAAAAATAAGTTCCCATTATTTGAAAGAATAACCAAATTTTAGAGATATAAACACATACCATATTATTTCATTTCAAATTAAGAGCAAAAGTCTCTTATACAATCATGCACTGCATAACAATGTTTTTGGTCAATAACTGACTGTATATATAACAGTGGTCCCATAAGATTATATGGAGCTGAAAAATTCCTACTGCTTAGTGTAATGTTGTAGTGCAATGCATTATTCACACCCTTGTGATGATGCTGATGTAAATAAACCTACTGCACTGCCAGTCATATAAAAGTACAGTACATACAATCATGTCTAGTACATAATACTTGATAATGGATATGTTACTGGTTTATGTATTTATTATACTATACTTTTTATTATTTTAGAGCATCCTCCTCCTACTTGTGAAAAAAAAAATGTTATCTCTAAAACACTGTCAGGCAGCTCCTTCAGGAGATATTCCAGAAGACAGCATCATCATCATAGGAGATGATAAATTTGAAGGCAGAGGACAGTGGTATTGTTAATCCTGACCTTGTGTAGGCCTTGGTTAATGTGTGTGTGTTTGTCTTTGTTTTTGGCAAAAATGTTTATGAAATTGAAAAAAAATTTAAATAAAAAAGTATAGAATAAGGATTGTAAAGAAAGAAAATATTTTTGTACAGCTGTACAATGTGTTTGTGTTTTAAGCTAAGTTTTATTGTAAGAGTCAAAAGTGTTTTACAAACTGAAGATTTATAAAGTAAAAATGTTACAGTGAGCTATGATTAATTTACTATGGAAAAAAGAAAACATGTTTATGAAATTAGTTTAGCCTCAGTGTAGTGTTTATAAAGTCTACAATAGTGTACAGTAATGTTGTAGGCCTTTCACATTCACTCACCACTCACTCAATGACTCATCCAGAGCAACTTTCAGTCCTGTAAGCTCCATTCATAGGAAGTGCTCTGTGCAGGTGTTCCATTTTTCTTTTATACTGTCTCTTTACTGTACCTTTTCTGTTTAGATATGATCAGATACACAAATGGTAACACATTATGTTACCATTATCTACAGTATTCAGTACACATGCTGTACTGGTCTGTAGCCTAGGAACAAATAGGCTATATCATACAGCTTAGATGTACAATCGGCTATACCATCTAGGTTTGCATAGGTATACTCTGCAATGTTCACACAACAAAATTGCCTAAGGATCCATTTGTCAGAACATACCCCTGTTGTTAAGTGGCCTGTGGCTATATAATCAAAAAGAACCATTAAATATAGATGTTTAAATACTGATGGCATCAAAATATAACCTCACTATACTGAAATAAATGTGTACGGTGGACTACAGTTTTCCTATATATTTTTGTACATTATCCTCATTAATGCCACACAACAAAACCTGAATCTCAGAAAAGTTAAATGACATGTCCAAGATCAACAAAGGTAGAACCAAATATAAACCCAGGGCTATAACTCCATGGCCCATACTCTTCCCTATTATATTAGCTTTAGATTTCCTGGAATAATAATCATATCACTGAGAAATGGCATTAATAATCCTATTCACATTAGAATATGCATACATGAACAGTCATACATGTTGAAGTTAAAGCAAAATCAAAAATTCAGTAATATCAAAGATTTTAACTTTTTTCTTAGTTGTATTTTCTAAAATTTCTACAATTGATATATGTTCCTTTATTACATAGTTTTTATAACGGGATGGGAGGTAATTTCCCATAAATAGCAGCATACACAAGCAACAGGAATATAGTATCTGCCAGTATTTTATACTAGTAGTAAAATACCGTTAGAGTATTTATACAAACTGGAAAGATGCTGCTTTTAACAATATTATACTATAGTGACACTAATTAAAATGAATTCAAGTTACCTGTGATCCAATTTCAACACATCCCTGTCCCACAGCTTCAGCAAATTTCTCTTTAAAGATGTAACCAATATCTTTCACTCTTTTCAGTATACTTTCTTTTGGATTAACTGTGCAGTTCTTTAGGAGATAAAAATGGAAATCAATGTCGAGGATATCATCAGAATTAATATTTTCTGCTCCATGATATATGACTTTTAAAATTGTTTATTAAACTGTGGAAACACTTCCACAATAACTAGGTAAACACAGCTATTGAACATAAGCAGACAATATAATTTCACTGAATGTTAATGACCAAAAAATACTAGAGTACAACTAAAAAACCCTAATCTAAATTTTCTGCCACTAGGCTAGAGAAGAGCAACTTTGTTAAGTTTTCCATCAATCAAAAAGAGCCTCACACATTCTCATAAAATGTCTTTAATTAAGAGTTATATTGGGATGGATGTTGCTTCCAAAAAAGCAAATGAAATAAAACCAAGACCTGAACTTGATACCATTTCCTAATTTTTTTTTTTTTTTTTTTTTTTTTTTTTTGGATGAAGTCTCACTCTGTCACTCAGGCAGGAGTGCAATGGCACGATCTCAGCTCACTGCAACCTCTTCCTTCCAAGTTCGAGTGATTTTCCTGCCTCAGCCTCCTGTGTAGCTGAGATTACAGGTATGTGCCACCATGCCTGTCTAATTTTTATATTTTTAGTAGAGACGGGGTTTCATTATGTTGGCCAGGCTGGTCTTGAACTCCTGACCTCAGATGATCCACCCACCTTGGCCTCCCAAAGTGCTGGGATTACAGGTATGAGCCATTGTGCCCGCCCCATTTCCTAATTTTAAAATGTGCTTTGAAAGAGTTACGAATTAGCTAAATCATTTAATTACATTTTCAGAAATACAAGATAGGGAAATAGTTGCAAAAGAAATTCCAACACGTGTATCATTTGGAGTGAGGTTATTCAACTTTAATAATGAAAACACATCATAAGATGTATTAAAATGCATATGATAATATATAATTCATATTATGATATATTAAAAGTAATCACACCATGATTCTCACCAGCTACAAAGATTTATTCTATTTTTTATCCTTTCTACACAGAACACATTCAAAATATACATTAGAAAATAAAGTTTGTAAAATGAAGATTATGGCCAGGCACAGTGGCTCATGCCTGTTATCCCAGCACTTTGGGAAACTGAGGTGGTCAGATCACCTGAGGTCTGGAGTTCAAGACCAGCCTGGGAACCATTGTACACCATCTCTGCAAAAATTACAATAATTAGCTAGATGTGGTGGCAGGATCCAGTAATCCCAGCTACTTGGGAGGCTGAGGCTAAGAATCACCTGAACCCAGGATGTGGAGGTTGTAGTGAGCCACGATTGTGCCACTGCACTCAGCCTAGGCAACAGAGTGAAACTCTGTCTCAAAAAAAAAAAAAATAAAGTAAAATTAAGATTATAATTTTCTTTGTAATGTGCATTGTCTTTCAACATTTTCACATTCTAGAATATCAGTAATTCTATATTTCTGAAGAGAAAAAAAAAAAAAAAAAAACAGCACACAAATCTTAGAAACATATAACAAGCATTTCCTGTCATGAAAGAATTGTTGCCAAAATGTCCATTAAAATGTTCATAGCTTCTAAGATTTTACATGGAGGGAAGATGGCATTAATTTTAAAAATGAAGAAACTTGGACTAATAAAGAAGTAAAATGAAGGAAAAGCATAATGACCATCAAGACACATTCACTTTGAGATATACAGCTTATCATCTACATAATTAAGCTTTTAAGCTTAATTAAAAGTTAAGCTTTAAATTGAGCTCTGGAAAATGTCTTTCACATGCACTCATATGTTCACTGCTGTGCTATTCACAATAGCAGATATAGAATTAGCCTAGGTGCCCATCAATGATGGATTGGATAAAGAAAATGTGGTACTTATACACCATGGAGTATTATACAGTCATAAAAAGAACAAAATCATGCCCTTTGCAGCCACATGGGTGTAGCTGGAGGTCATTATCCTAAACAAATTAACAGAAAGAGAAAGCCAAATACTGTATGTTCTCACTAATAAGTGGGAGCTAAATATAGGGTACTTATGGACATAAAGATGGCAACAATAGACACTGGGGACTACTAGAGGGAGGAGGGAATGAGGGGAGTGAGGGTTAAGAAACTATATAAAAACATAAATAAAGATCATATAGTTTCCAAGTTTAAAAAAAATGTCTTTGGGGCAGAAGTTTTTTAAAATAAAAAAGAGCTCCTACATACTCCAAATATTGAAGAAAGTATTCAAAATGATATCAGAAGAAAGAGCTTATCATTCTTTTAAATTATTTCATTCTCTCTTGCTAAAAGGTTTAAGTAATTGGGTACATATGTTTTGGCATATATTCTTGTGCTATAGATAACTCATAAACAAAAGCAACTTTATGTATGTTGGACAAACAAAATCAATTCTGAGCCAAAACAATTATGAATATTATGACAGAAATTACTTTGCTAATTCCTAGGGGAACATAGCAAGAGATGACAACAGATTATGACAAAATCACAGACATGTTATGGCAACGAATGAATTGTTAACAACTACAAAAAGCACAGTTGCTGAAATTAGTCAAATTTTAGTAGGTCTCCTGGCCCTATGTTCAATTTCAGTGGATGAACATTTCAGTGGGTCCCAGCCCTCATCTGAGTTTAAGTAAGGAGTGAAGGAGTAAGCAAGCAATATAGATGATAGTTTCATTCTCTCTCTTTCTCTCTCCTTGTCTTCAGGGGAGAGAGGGTAACAGATGCCTTTAGATATCAAACTCAGGGTCTAACAGGAGTTGCAAACTACAATGCTCACAGGGCCAGGTAAGAATTGTAAATAAAAATGGGTTAAATATTGGATTAAAAAGATTGTAGGGGTATGGCGAATGTTAAGTCCTATCTAACACTACATTCAAAGAAAAGATCTTAAAAGTAACCAGAGAAAAAACGATGGATTAACTATAAAGGAACAACAATTAGATTGATTGACAGAAGACTTTTTAATTAGAAAAAATGGGATCCATGGAATGTAATATCTTTTAACTTATAGGAGTTTAAAAAGTAAACGTCAACCATGGAATTGAAGATCCAGCAAAGCTATTTCACAAAAAATAAGGGTAAAGAAAATTTCAGACCAACAAAACAAAACAAAAACTCAAAAAGTTCATCCCAAATTAATATCACTAAAGTGTTTATCAAAGAATATATCTGAAGAAGAAAAAAATTTATCTAAGAAGTGGGCATAAGTTGCAAGAATATAAAATTTTTTAAAATAACACTGTATAAATGAAACAATGCTACTAATAATATCTAATTTGTAGGATTAAAAAAGCAAGAAAAGATTATGAATAACTACATGTTAGGAGATAAGTGTTTTAAAAAGAACTTAGTACTTTAACTTTTAATTTCAAGTTTCTTTGCCAATATATTACAATAAATAATGTTTCACATTTGGCTTACATTAAAATAGGAAATCAGATTTTCTGATGGCTGATCACTTGCTGAATTTAAAATCATCATTAATTGTTGGATAGTGTTCATAACAGTCCTAGAGGGGAAAAAATAGGAAGATGTGTTAAGCAATGAAGGGAGAGAAAAAATGAAAAAATGAAATGTTATCTATTTCCCAAGTTAAACGTATCTTTAAATACACTGCCTCCCACTTATCTTTAAGTCCCCTGAAATAAGACTGTGGTTTATAAGAAATTACATTTTGCTTAAATCTTTAGGAAAATAAGTATTCACACTGATAAGTTTATAGCTATAGAATGGATATACTTACTTACCAATAAAACTATATATCAACAAAATAGTGGCATTATTTTTAGGAGAAACTATATAAACTGGCAACAAAATAGTATTGTTTCAAGAGAACATTGCTACAATCAAATATTAAACACTTTCAAACTAAAGACAATAAGATATTTAGCAACTCAAGTAAAGAATCAGACGATTCTTCTTTACAGAGATCTTCAAGAAGAAAGGATACTAAGATCCTAGATGCATTTAAAAGTCACCATTTTCAAAGCATAAAATTTGGTCAATCTCCTAAGATCCCATTGATTCTATAATTTTCTGTGTGTGCATATGTGGGGGATATATGGTAAATATCAATGTTACAACTCTGGAGTAGGTGAACATTTGGGACACTTCAATTATGCAGAGAACTGTAGAATGTTTACAGCTGAAAAGATCCTCAACTATTATTTAGTAAAATATGCTCAGTGCTCTCAGCTAAGCATGCCTAAACCGGTATTTACACTTCCTCACCTTTCTTTTTTTTTTTCTTTTTTTTTTTTTGAGAAGGAGTCTTGCTCTGTCACCCAGGCTGGGCTGCAGTGGTGCGATTTTGGCTCACTATAACCTCCGCATCCTGGGTTCAAGTGATTCTCCTGCCTTAGTCTCCTGAGTAGCTGGGATTAGAAGCACTCACCACCACATCTGGCTAATTTTTGTATTTTTAGTAGAGACAGGGTTTTGCCATGTTGCCCAGGCTGGTTTTGAACTCCTGTCCTCAGATGATCCACCCACCTTGGCCTCCCAAAGTGCTGGGATTACAGGCATGAGCCACCACACCAGCCACACCTTTCAAATATATTGCAATGAGGCTTTTATATGCTTCTGTGTCCACTAATCAAACTTAACCTACAGCGATTAAAGCCACAAATGACCAACTGGTAAAAACAAAAGACTTTTCTCATTTGTTCTAATACTTAAGCTTCCTTGAAGCATTTGACACTGTTGAAGAAACACTTGCTCCTAATGAAACTCCTTCCCTCCCTCAACTTTGTTGGCTTCACTCTCTGGGGTCCCCAACCATACTTTCCCATTCACTAGAACAGCAGTTCCCACCGCTAATCTGACAGGAGGTAGACTTCAGGCGGTAATGCTTGCCTGCCCACCACTCACTTCCTGCTGTATGGGCCGGTTCCTAATGGGACACAGACTGGTCCCTGGCCGGGGAGCTGGGGCTCCTGCTCTAGAACCTAACAACTTCTATCTAGTCCTTAATGCTAGCATTCCATAGGCTTCAGCCCTTAGCCACCCACTCTTGCCATGATACACCTTCACTTCAAGCAATCTCATTTATTTTTACGGTTTTAACTCCCCTGATGATTCCCAAATCTATAAAAGGATATCCTATTGCTTACTAGGTATCTTCTTCAGAAATGCCTTAAGAACAATATTCTAAGTATGAATACATCAAATATTTATCAAATCTGTTATTGCTCCTTCATTGTCACCACTACCGTTGGTTCAGATCTTTAAAACCTCTCAACTACAGTGCTGCAATAGACAAGTCCAGAGATTTTCACACGCTATGTCTGCAGTGATAAGGCCTAGGCATATTCCTCAGTGGAACGGGACACACAATTTTTAAAAAGAAAAAAAAAAAACTTCCTCAGGGTATTCTAATTTGCACACCTGATTAAGAACCACTGAGACAGATTGACAGGTCTATTCCTCACTCTTTCTTATTCCCCTCAGTCTATCACCCCAACAAACTATTACCATGTGAACTTGCAAAAATTATGTCTGATTTTATTCTTACTCCTGCTTAACATCCATTTACAGCACAGGCTATAGCATGCACATGCTACAGTCCAAATCTGTGAGTACAGCATATAAGGCCCTTCATATCTAGTACTCACTCTCCTCTCCGGTGACTTCCTACTCTCATTTTACAGTCAATCAATACACAGCTGCCAATACTTCCCCAAATCCACTGTGTTGTGTGATATTGTGAAATACATGTTTGGTCTTTTATTTTTATTTTTTATTTTTATTTTTAGACGGCGTTTCCCTCTTGTTACCCAGGCTAGAGTGCAATGGCGCGATCTCAGCTCACCGCAACCTCCGCCTCCTGAGTTCAGGCAATTCTCCTGCCTCAACCTCCTGAGTAGCTAAGATTACAGGCACGCGCCACCATGCCCAGCTAATGTTTTGTATTTTTAGTAGAGACAGGGTTTCACCATGTTGACCAGGATGGTCTCGATCTCTTGACCTCGTGATCCACCCGCCTCGGCCTCCCAAAGTGCTGGGATTACAGGCTTGAGCCACCGCGCCCGGCCCATGTTTGGTCTTTGACCCCATATCCTGACACACAACTCCTAAAATTCTTAGAAACTCCAGTGATATCTTTTTGTATGCTAACGAATTGACTGATGGCTGGCAGCCCCTAGGAAGCTTCTGGATGGGGGCTAGTCACTAGAAAGACCAGGCAGAGTTAGAGGGTTGGAGCCTTCAGCCCCACGCCCCCAACTTCTGGGGAGGGGAGGGAAGCTGAAGGTTAGGTTGATAATAGATAACCAATGATTAAATCTATCATGCCTATGCAATGAGGCATCCATAAAAACCCAAAAGGGGAGGGTTCAGAGAACTTCCAGATAGCTGAACATGTGGAGGTTCATGGACAGCTGCCTGCTGAGGGAGGGCATAGAAGCTTCCTGTCCCATCCCCTATACTTCAGCCTATGCATCTTTACATCTGTATTCCTAATATCTTTATAATAAACCGGTAAACATAAGTGTTCCCCTGAGTTTTGTGAACCACTCTAGCAAATTAATCAAACTCAAGAGGTATCATGGGAACCCCAACTTGAAACCCTTTGGTCAGAAGATCCAAAAACCCAGACTTGCAACTGGTATCTGAAGTTGGGGGTAGTTTTGGGGTCTGATCCCTCAATCTGTGCGATCTGAGACTATCTCCAGGTAAACAGTATCAGAAGTAAATTAGAGGACACCCAGCTGGTGACTGCTGCAGAACTGATTGCTTGTTTCTCAGTGACGAAAAATTCCCCACATTTGGTCACAGAAGTCTATGTGACAGCAGTTTTCTCCACTTACATGTTTCATACTTCCATCCCTTTGCACATGCTGTTCCAACTCCCTAAAATCTTTATCCTGTGACACAGACCTTTACATGTTTCAAAATTCAGTTCAGACATTGCTTTATAGTCCCTTCTGTGTCATCTCATTAGCTTGTTTATAAATATATACTATACTTATATGAAAATGCATTCATGTATACATCTATACAGTCATTTGAAATATATTACTGATTACCTACCATGTACCAAGTATTAGGACAGGCCCTAATTATTAGATAGTCAACAAAAAAGTCATGGTCTCTGTGATATGGAATTTAAAGGCTATTTTGGGTATTAGTAAAAAAACAAGCAAACAAATGAATCTGTCAAAACAAATTGGGATACATGCTATAAAGGAATAGAACAGGATGCTAGGAGAAACAATAATAAGATACTTCAGAGAGAAATATCTTTTCAAAAGCAATATTTGTGCTGAATGAAGAGTAGCAGTTAGTAATCCATGGAAAGAAAAGACGGAAGCGTTTCAAGAAGAGGGACTATCAAGTATGAGGGTTTTCAAAGTACAAAAAGACTTGGAAAGCCCACGAAACTGAAAGAAAGCCAATGTGTGGCTAATGCAGAATGAGAAAGAAAACAAGATGAGGTTGGAGAGGCAACAGAAACCAGATCATATAAGGTCTTTTAGGCATTGTTGAGGAATCTGCACTGTATACCAATTGCAATGGAATGCAGTCAGAGGGTTTTAACAGCAAAGTAAACATAACTGATTTACATTTCTAGGAGAAATTCTGGAGGCACTGTGGAGAATAGATTTGAGAAGACAGGAAGAGTGATGAGACCAGAAGCAGCAAGATTAGGTAGTAGGCTATTGCAAAAAATCCAAGAGAAAGAGAAAGATGTCTTGGACAAGAGTTGTGAGAGCAGAAATGGAGAGAAGTAGATGGACTCAGGAAATATTTTAGAGGTAGATTATTCAATAAGCCTTGATAATAGATTTTGATGTGGGAAGTGAGTGAGGAAAAAGACATAAAAAATAGTTCTACTCCTTTAAGATTGTATGCAGATCAAACAGTGATACTTTTTTTCTTTTTTATTTACTGAAATGGAATACATTGCTATTTTAGGTTATGTTTCTTAAGGACAGACAAAACTAGGTACAATAACCATATCTTAAGCAACAAGTAAAATGCCTAGCACACAAAGATTATATATACATTTTTTTCCCTTTTTTTTGAGACAGAATTTCACTCTTGTCACCCAGGCTGAAGTGTAATGTTGCAATGTTGGCTCACTGCAACTTCTGCCTCCTGGGTTCTAGCGATTCTTCTGCCTCAGCCTCCCAAGCAGCTGGGATTACAGGCACGTGCCACCAGCTGGGGCTAATTTTTGTATTTTTAGTAGAGATGGGGTTTCACCATGTTGGCTAGGCTGGTCTCAAACTCCTGACCGCAGGTGATTTGCCCACCTTGGCCTCCCAAAGTGCTAGGATTACAGGTATGACCCACCACACTCGGCCTTCAATATATATTTCTTACATGTATGTATGAATACATGAAGAAACATGTAAACAAATATGAAGCATTATAAAGCAATGAATAAAAAGATTATAATATAATTAAAAGTAGGAAAATTCATACCTAACTGGAGTGTGTGGAGAAATCACATTCACCTCTTCATCAAGGTTACTTTTTCGTGGTGTTCTCTGTGCTTCAAAACTAAATAACGATAACTGAAGTCATTCACATACTGAAAATTTATATTTTGTGCTTTATGCATCAAAAAAGCAGTGTAATATTTCTGGTGTCTCATAAAATCATATAAAATGATAACTCAATAATAGACATGATAGGAAATAGATGACCCAACTGCTGCTTAAATAAAATCTTTTTCACTATTGTTTTTAATTGTGGTTCTCTTTCCATTATGTTTATGACAAAAAAGCTATACCAATCATTAAGTATTTTTTCTAAAGTGAAAGTC